AACCTACTGTAAACCTTGTTTCCCCCATTGAGAAAAAAGGGATAAACAAGTTTATGGATTATGAAGAACCCAAGGATGACACAATATGAGCTCACTTTGTAATGTCACTTGGAAAACTTGTTGAAGAAGCCAAGAAAACAAATCCCAAAAACCATTTTCTTAAGAAAGTCACCACCACCACAGAGTTAGCACAAGAGGAAGCAAAGAAGAAACCAAATGTGGTCCTTCCTGATGACTACAAAGAGTTCACCTCAGTTTTTGAAAAACCTTCAGACAGAATGTTTCCCCCATCCAGACCCTATGACCATGCCATAAACCTCATTGAAGATTTCACTCCTAGAGTGGCTAAGGCATACCCACTTTTTCCATCTGAGAGAGAGTCTGCAGAAAAGTTCATCAAAGAAAACCTTTGAGAAGGAAAGATCCATCCCTCCAAGTCTCCCCAAGGTGCTCCATTCTTCTTTGTCAGAAAGAAGGATGGCTCCCTCTGTCCCTGTCAAGACTACAGATATCTAAACAAGAATGCAGTGAAGGATGCATATCCCCTTCCCCTTATCTCAGATCTGGTCAACAAGTTAAAAGGAGCCTCCATCTTCACAAAAATGGATGTTAGATCCAGATACAACAATGTCCAGATAAAGAAGGAGACCAGTGGATGGCCACATTTATCACACACAAAGGACTCTTCAAACTGACAGTCATGTTCTTCAGCCTTTGTAATTCCCCTGCCATGTTCCAGTGATTCATGAACGATTCATTTCAGGATATGATCACTGAAGGATGGTTGGTCATCTATATGGATGACCTTCTCATCTTCTCCACCAATGCTGAAGAACACAGACAAAGAACTTGTCATGTCCTTGAATGAATGAAAGAATTGTCACTTCCTCTGAAACTAGAAAAGTGTCATTTCAATCTTACTGAGGTGGAATACCTCAGAATGATCATAAAGGAAAATACTGTCACTATGGACCCCATCAAAGTCCAGGGTATTGCTGAATGGCCTGTCCTGAAGAAGGTTAAAGATGTGTGATCTTTCCTGGGATTCACCAACTTCTATTGAAGACTCATCCCTTAGAGCTAGTTCAGAAACCTTGGGTAAGTTGCAATTAGTTCCTTCAATGCTTGTACATGTTTTTCCACTGGGGCAGTTCTCACTGAAGCATGGTTGGTCATCTATATGGATGACCTTCTCATCTTCTCCACTGATGCTGAAGAAGACAGATGAAGAACTCATCATGTCCTTGAACAAATGAAAGAATTGTCACTTCCTCTGAAACTAGAAAAGTGTCATTTCAATCTTACTGAGGTGGGATACATGAGAATGATCATAAAGGAAAATACTGTCACTATGGACCCTGTCAAAGTCTGGGGTATCACTGAATGGCCCATCCTGAAGAAGGTTAAAGATGTGCAATCCTTCCTGGGATTCACCAACTTCTACTGAAGATTCATCCCTTACTATTCAGACATTGCCAGAGCCCTAATTGACCTAACCAAGAAAACTGTCTCTTGGGAGTGCTCAAAAAAGTGTCAAACTGCCTTTGAACTCCTAAAGAGGATTTTTATGGCACAACCAACCCTCCATATGCCTGATACTTCTTGGCCATTTGTGATAACCACTGATGCATCTAAGTACATGACTGGAGGAGTTCTCCTTCAAGAAGATTTGAATGGTCAATGGCAGCCCTGTGCCTTCATCTCCCAGTCATTTAACCCTGCAGAATGCAACTATGACATTTATGATTGAGAGTTGCTGGGAGTTATTCAAGGACTGAAGACCTGGAGACATTATCTCCATGGTTCCCTGTTCCCAGTCAAGGTCTGCACTGACCACAAACATTTGACCTACTTCAAGGCACCCCAGAACCTAAACCATTGCCAGGCACACTGGCTTCTGGACCTTGCAGATTTTGATCTGCAACTTGAAAACATCCCATGCAAAGACCTGGCAGCTCCCAATGCACTCTCCTGATGCCCTGACCATGTCCCTGATGATGATGATGATGAGGATAACAAAGGAGTAACCCTCCTCCCCCACACAATGTTTGTAAACCTTATCAACACCAGTCTGACACAGAGGGTTGCATCATCCTCTATGAAAGACTCCATTGTCCAAACAGCTCTTCAAGCCATTGAAAATGTCAACATGCTACTCCCCTTCAAGTCACATCTTTCCAACTGGAAATTTGATAATGGGGTGCTACTTTACAAAGATCAGGTCTATATCCCTGATGATCCCTCCCTCTGACAAACCATGGTGTCCAATCACCATGATCACCCCTCTGCAGGACACCCTGGTGTATTAAAAATGAGACAGCTTGTCTCCTCTGGATTCTGGTGGCCAGGACTTGTGTCCTTTGTCTGCAGATACATTGAAGGCTGTGCTACATGCCAGCAAAATAAAGTAAACACTCATCCAATGACCCCTCCCCTGACACCCATTGTTTGGACCTTGATCCACCCCTTCCAACAGATCTCATGCAATCTGGTCACTGACTTACCCCTTTCCAAATGCTATGATTCCCTTTTGGTCATGGTAGACCATGGGCTTAAAAAGGGGGTAATTTTATCACCTACAAAGAAAACCACTGCTGTGGATATTGCAACACTGTTTTTCAAGAAAGGCTACTCCCACTTCAGGTTATATGACAAAATCATATCAGATCAAGGCCCTCAATTTGCCTCCACCTTTGCAAAAGAACTTGCCTCCCTCCTGGGATACTCTCTCACTCTGTCCACTGCTTATCACCCTCAAATAGATGGAGAGACTGAATGAGTCAACCAAGAGGTTGAAACTTATCTTTGAATCTTCTGCCAGAATGATCCCACTCTCTGGGTAGACAACCTCCCTATGGCAGAATTCACACACAATCACTGACCCCACTCCATAACCCACCAGTCACCATTCTACCTCATGTACAGGTATGAACCAAAACCCCTTCCATCTTTGATCATGGAAACACACCTTCCCACCACTGAGTCTAGACTTGAGGAATTACAAAAGGCTAGAGAAGAAGCCCTTGCAGCCCATGACCTAGCCCAAAAAGCCATGAAAGACCATGCTTCTAGACCCTTCACCCCATTTCAAAAAGGTGATAAGGTATGACTAGAAGCCTGCAATTTGAAATGCTCCTATGAAAACAGGAAGCTTGCACCAAAACAAGAAGGACCCTTCATTGTCTTGGACATCCTATCCCCAATCATGTATCACCTTGCAATTCCTGCATGATCAAAGATCCACAATGTGTTCCATGCTTCCCTGTTATCACCCTATCACAAAAATGACATTCATGGACTGAACTTCCTGGCTCCACCACCTGATCTGATAAATGAAGAGGAAGAGTATGAGGTGGAGGCAAAAGTCAGCCATAAGAGGTCTGGCTGCAGACATGCCTTCTTAATCAAATGGAAAGACTATCTGTCTTCCAAAAACTCATGGAAAAAAGAAGAACACCTAGAACATGTGGATGATATGCTCTCTGCATATAAGAAACAATTCCCCAAAGACTTTCCCCCTCAGAAACCACCTCCCCATCACTCTTCCTGAACTGTCAGAACTGTCTCCTTTGAAATGCCCCCTTGTCATTACACATATCCTTGTGAGATCTCCCATCACCACACCCCTTTTGCTTGTCATCAGCAGCAACCCACTAGTGAACAAATGATCAACTTGTACCATCTCTTTATCACCAACCCTGCCATTGTCAGCACCATCTATCATGAGGTCAATGAGGACTCTCCCCCTGACCTCATCTATCATGCATCCATTCAGGCTCTATGCCTCAAAGAACTTTCCCATTGTGTTAACCACCAAAACCCTCTGCTGTCCCCAGCACACATTATTCTAAATGATTTTGCTTGTGAACAAGTCCCCCTGTGGCTCCATCTCTTTGATATCCTTGGAGGTGCAGACCTTATATACAACATCAGGCAACATCCTGACCTCATTGCACCCCCTCCTCCTGGGTCCAGAAGACCCTCAACTGCAACCTCTCCTCCTGTGTCCTCCATTTCATTGTCCCCTCCAGCATTGTCATTGTCATCATCATCCTCCCCATCCTCCAGCTCTCTTCAAAGAGCAGATAGACCATGGGCCTGTTGCCTGTCTGGTCCAAAGCCCCAACCATGTGAATCTCATGGTTCACTGTCATCTCCTTCTGAAATAGACCCAGTCTCTACTTTCAGTGTCACTGCTGATGAGTTGGCTGCCACCATGAATCAAGTAGAAATGCTCACAAACCTCCCACCTTCTCCTATGAGAAGTGGTTGTCTGGCCACTTGGCCCTTAACCCCATCAGACCCATGTTACTGGCAAACATGTTACTCTTGTTGCTGCCTTGGACACATTCATGTCAACTGCAACCTATATGAATGCCCCCTGTGTTGTACCACTCATCCTGGACATACCCAGGCCCAATGCCTGTCCTTACACCCTCATCATCCCTTACATGATAGAATCACTACACCCAGGCTAGTAGATGATCAAACTCTCATTGACAGTGAGGACAATGATGGGTACAATGACAATTTCAACTTTGATGACTCTGCCATTGCCAACATGACCAGAGAACCTTATGGAGAGTAGTTTGAAGTTGGGGACTTCAAGCCTTAGAAGGGGGGTAATGTTATGTTTTACCCTTGTTTTTGCCTTGTTGCTACTTCATTTCCTTCCACTGGATGTTCTTTCCTTTCTTGGCCATCTTCTCCTTGTTCCAATGGCCTTTTACTTCCATCACTAGCAATATTTCCTTGTGCCTCATTTGGGACATGCAATGTTGTTGTTCAACCAATAGCACAGATAACTCATTACATGCAGATGCCTCATGATCCATTTACATGTAGTATTTAGTCTGCCAGCCCAAGTCCTAGAACCCCAGACTTGAGCTGCTCAATCATATGCAGTGTTCCTCAGAACTTCACCCTCAGAGTCCCTAACCTGGTGTAGAGTGGAAGCACATGCAAAGGTGGAGCAAGATGTTCAGATGGGAGAGGAGACCATGGTGGAGCTTGGCAATGATGGTGCAGTGAAGATGTCACACATGGAAGTTCTGCAGCCAGCTCACAAGGTAAGTCAATGTGGGCACATCCTCCAGTCTCACTGACACTGCCACCACACAGTGCTCTTGGCAGACTGTTGCCAAGAGTGACAAAGAGCCTGCCTGGCCAAAGACCTGTATCCCAGCTGTGGGTATGATCACCCACAAGGAGCCATGCATGCAGTGCACTCTGAAGGGGGTTTCTTGTACTGGAATGTTGGGCAAGACCTGCAATGCCTGCATGAGGATCAAGCAGGGCTGTGAAAAGTCAAGCAAAGCAGCAGGCAAGAAGGCACAGGCAGGCACATCAGTTGGTAAGTAGCAGTTGTGTCTTGATGCATCTGAGGCTAATCTGCTACAGTGCAATCCATGAAGGCCCCTAAGGCCAGTCCATCAAAGTGGGGTCACAACAATGACAATGATGATGACATTGTGGAGGTGGTCAAGAGCAGGGCCCACGGAAAAGGAAAGGGACTGGTGCATGGTGGACTGGATGACAAGACCACCACAGCTTTGTCTCAAGCACTGATGATGGTGAGGGCTGAGGCCATGGCTTCGCATGCAGCCACCATGCATCTGCAGGTCAGTGTAGACCAGCTCACAGAGGCCCCTTAAGACCTTGGCATAGAGTAGATGACCATGTAGTTTGTAGACACCCTTCTGCATCCTGTCCCATTTTTGCTGTGGCCCACATCTTATCCATGGGAATATACCAAGCCTTGTCTTGTCCCTGGTAGTTGCAATGTCAGGCATTGTGAAAGACCTCTGTCTGTGTGGCAAGGAACTGGCCCTAGATTGACTGTGGTATCATATTGTGCATGGGGTACCACCTGACTTGTCTTCTTCATGCAACTTTTGACTTCTCTCAGTGGTGAGTCCTTGTAGAATGGTCTTGATGGTAGGATGTGATGGATTCTTGAAGAGAGAATGAAGGGACTGTTTATTGGGTAACTGGGACAGTCTTTGGGTATCAATTGCAAGGAGACAGAAGAAGAACTGAAAGGAAAACAGATCAAGGTGCACACACTGACTGTGCATTCAAAGAAGAAATGTGCAGGGTAGTTTCAAGTATCCATGGTTTATAGTGGCCAAGGATGGCATTAGCAAGACTAGTAAGAGAGATAGGAGAAATGTTGTTTTAGCTATATACTTATTTTTGTTATGTTTCTGGATGGTTTTTGACTTTTTGTTAGTGGTTTTTATGTTTTTTGTGTGAGGACTAGCTATCAGTAGAATCGCTGGATGCAACCCAAGGTGGAACAGATGTCTCTGGACAGAACCCAGGGTAAAACAGATAAAAAGAAACAAACTATGTAAGTTGGGTGCAGGTCACCCCTGCAGGGGACTTTGAATGCTGACTGTCCCCAGTCAGCATGGGGAAAGGAATGAGGGTAGCAGAAGAGGCTGTGGAGAGGCAGGTGAAGCTGCAGAAGGAGGTAGGGGTATTGTTGGAGGAGAGGGTATGGAGGCAAGTAGGAAGGAAAGAAGGGGAGGGCATGATGGACAGGCTGTGGGTGCCAGAAAGGGTGGATAGTCAGCTGTCTGAGGCAAAAGCCTCTACCTTGTCATCAGTGGGGTCATCCTCAGTCTCCTCAAGAAGGTGGTCTAGTTCTTCATCATCTAACCCAGTAATGTGAGTCACAGTCACATGGGTTTGAGACCATGGGTGGTAGGGAAGTAGGCAGAATGCAGTGAAGTGGAGTCTTGAGATGGAGCCATCCAACTTAGCCAGCAGGTATGAGCCCCCAGTGGTCTGATGAAGGATGACCATGGGGCCAGTGTACTGCAGCTTTGTCTTCTGGTTCAGTTCTTTCTCTACATGGGAGTTGTGAATGAGCACAAGGGTGTTGGGAGCAAAGTTATGGTCTGTAATGTGATGCTGAAAGGTGGCTTCAAACTGCTGGATAGACTGGAAGTGTGCATGGAGGACATTATTGGGGACCTGGTCTAGGTCATCCTGACACTTCTGTAACTGGTACATGCACTAAGCAATCAGTTCTGTGGTACTCAGCAGTGTTGCATCATCATGGGATAGGGGCAAAAGGAAAGTAGCCTCAGCAAGGTTGAATGGGAACAGCTGTTTGACACCATGTACCATGAAATAGGGGGATAGACCTGTGGACTTCAAGATGGTGACTTGCTCAGCCCAGAACACATAGTGTGTGATGGTGTGCCAGCAGCAGTCATTGTTCTCGCAGCTCTTCATGATAGCCTTGTGCACATCATAGTGGCAATGCTCTACAATGCCATTAGCCTGAGAGTTGTAAGGAGAGATATGGATGTGATGGATATGATATTGCACAGCTAGGGCATCTAAGGCTTGAATGAATGTGGGACCATTGTTAGTGAGACTGAAGATGTATACATGTACCACACACAATGTGTAGAAGAGGCCATACAACTCAAGCTTAGCCTTGGAGTAATGGCTTTCCACTTTGTTGAGGGTAATGGATCTGAAGTGACTAGGGTATCATTTTCTGTCTTCACCAAGCTGATAAAGGATGTAGCCAACTGCGATGACTGAAGTGTCAACTGCTAAAATTACTTCACAACTACACTCATAGTAAATCCTTTGGAGTGCAGGGGACTTTATGATTTCATCCTTGAGCCATTGTGGCTCATCCCATGTGAATGGTACATCTTTCCATGTGAGTGCAACTAGCAGCCACATGATTTTGGCAAAGTCTTTGATGAAGATGCAGAGGACACCACAAACACCAAGGAAACCATGAACCTGTGTCAGGTTGCAGCACTCAGGCCAGTTGCAGATCTTTTGTACTTTGCTTTCCTCAGGGACATGACCTTCGAAGGTGCACTTGTGGCCAATGATCACAGCAGATGGAGTGGCTAGCATGAACTTCTTTGCTGAGACAGTGGCTCTGATGTTCTGCAAATTCTGAAGGATGTGGTTAATGACTATACAGTGATTCCAGATAAATTTCTGAATCCCAGGATTCTCTGGGATAGTCTCATAGGACTTGTCTGCACACTGATAGTGGGTGGTCTCCGATTTTATGGGGACATCATCTATGAAAGGCAAGGTATGATGTGGGATCTCATCTTGGAGGACAAACACAGTATCTCCCTGGCATACCTGGACTGTGTTTGCATGACCTTGTGGCAGAGTAGTAAGCCAATGTGGTCTGAGCAGGGTACCAAAGGTGGTGAGGTCATGGGAATCAATGTGAAGCGCATGCCGGTCATACCCAGAGTAGAGGTCCATCATTGCATACACTGCATATCCAGCAAAGGATTCCATGAGATGTTCTATGAAGGGTGGGATGGACACATTGCAGATGGTTACTGCATTTAGGGGCTGTAAGTCATGCACAAGGTGAAGAGACTTTCTGTCTTTCTTTACTACACAGAACCAGCAGGAGCAGTAAGCCACTGTAGAAGGTTCATACATGCTGGACTTGATGTGATCTTTAATCATGTCTATGACTTGGGCATGTATCATGCTCAGAATAGGGATATTGCATTGGACCCAAGGTGTGTGCAGGATCATGGGGATCTTTACAGGTGGGAAATAGCATTCATCTAGGTGTCTGCACTCTGTGATGTCCCAAGTGAATGCAGGCTTGTGGACTGAGATGAGCCAAGTCACAAGTTTGAGTTCTTCTGGCCAAAGCCAATCTGCAGGATCAAGCTCAAGCTCCACAGCCCATTCAGCAGTGAAGTGGATACCTGGATTGAAGTCTGGTGGATGTGTAGGAGGTGGTTGGAGACCAGTGAGTGGATCATCAGGCAGGCTGTGCATGATGTGGTATTCTTCCACCATCAGGGCAGGTACTGTCTGAACCTTCTTGGCAACTGGCTTGTAAATGAGAGTGCAAACTGTGGGATCTAATTGGTAAACACTGCCAAAAGCAGCTATAGCAGAGGGGTTTAGTATGGTCTGAGTGGAGGAGAGGAAAGTGAAAGCAGGTGAGGGTATTCCTGCAGGCATGTTCTGCAGCATGAGTACTGTGGGCAAAGGGAAGTTTGTTGAAGTGAAGGCTAGAGATGAGACTGTGGGACTGAGGAATTGATAACAGTGGCTAAACAGGAAACAGGACATCTTAGTAGGCTCTCCCCAACTGTTTGGTGGATCATTGATACTCAAAAACCCCATTCAACAATACTCTGGTGACTATGGCAGTGCTTGCCACACTTACAGCACAGACAGCCCTCATGCCATGGGCACATGGGCAGCACATACTCATGGCCATCATTCAGGTCATGGAGAGTGATCTGCTGTCCACCATTGGGATAGTTGTTTGTTACCACACTCATAAGGCAGATGAACAGATGCCTGAGAAGCATGTCAAAGTTGGTGTGTTCAATTACTTGAACCTGGAGCATGACTGGTCCAGCTCTGAAGTCGAGTTTCAGGTTCTCTAGAATGCCTACAGTAGTGTCCTTAGACATGTTAGCAGAGGTCATAGTCATGAGATGGTCACTGCACAATGGCAGCCCAATCTTTTCCCAGATGTGCCTAGGCATAGCAATGATTTCCAAGCCAAAATCTGGTATGCAGTTGATTGTGACATCGGTCCCAGGGACCTTGGCTTCAATGCAGCAGAGCAGTAGAGTGTGGTGAGCTATGATGGAACTGTCATCACTGTAGATGACATGATCTCTGTACTCATGTGCAGTTTGTTGAGGGTCACAACTGGTCAGTTCATTTACATGTACTCCCTTGTCATTGTCACTATGAACTACCTCAATCTCATTGGTGGTGATGCATTTTGCCATGGTGATGTCCCTGAACTGTTTGCGAAACTCAGGGGCTACTGCGAATAGTTCCTTGACTGGCAAGGCAATGCTGGTTTCAAGTATGCACTCCATGATATGCTTGGGTGTGGCATCATCTTCTAGAGGGAACAAGTAATGATACTGGTTATGATTGTGAGCTGCTGGGTATGGTGTTTGTGATGGGACAACTGCTGTGGGTGTGGGATCCTTGCACACAGGTGTCAGAGTGGGGTTAGTTGGGGGAACATATGGTTTCATAGTGGTGGATGTTGGTGCAGGTGCAGATGGCTCAGATGCCTGGCGAGTGGCACATGAACTCTAAACACCAGGGGAAATGATTTCCTCTTTGACAGTGGCTGCATGAAGATCTACCTATGGAGGGTTGGCTGGATGTGCCACAGGTCAAGCTGTAATCTCAACCCCATCAAAGCAGGCTTTCTTTTCTGTGGGACACGACTGTGCCCTTGTTACCTTTGTCTGCCTGATATGTAGCCCAAGCTTGGGTGACACACACCTGAAAGTCAGGATCATCTAAGTCAGTGGCTGATTCATCTACATCCTGGATGGTGTTCAGAAAGGCAGATGGCTGGATCTCCAACTGCACATCAACTTTGGGGTGAGCAATGCAAAAGAGGTTAGTGGTGCCTTGTGTGGCTGTGTTGTGCAGAGCAGCAGGAGTTGCAGCACACACATTGGCCTGGGCTCTGTCAGCCATGACACAGTCAACAGCTTCTTTCAGTGAGTCACATTCAGGGAAGCATGGAATTCAGCTTCTGTCTGCAAGGTAGAGATGGTTGTCCATACCCCTTGTGATCTTACTGGCATGGATATAGACTCCAATGAGTGCACACATCCTCATCCTGTGATTGGGGTCTGTG